TAGGGCCGAAATAACCTTGTCCCGAGCGAAATTGGACAAAATTACGTCACCGGCGCCCAGCTCGGCGCCAGGCGCCCACCAGGGCGCTGGAGACAGTAGCGTTTTCAATTCTTGCCTTCAAAATTCTTTTTTCATTACTTCATCAATTGCAATTTATAAGCTTTCTTGTCTCTGCTTGGGGGACAATGATCAAAGGGTGTCCCCCTTATTATATTTATTTAATTTTCTTTCTTATTCTTCCGCGTTTCATTCAATTTTGCTCCAAATCTCTTCATCTTCACACCGCTTTATTTCTACACAGTTAAAATATAATATTAAGCACAAAACAATATAACTAATACTCAAAAGACGATTAAAAGGTGCTAGAACATGAGGCAACAATGGAAAAATATATGCATTTTTGGCCGAACATCAATGCTTCACTTTTACACCTACCACGCACTCACTCTGACCATTGCCCACTAATACTTAACTTACAAAAACCTTTTTCTAAGCCGACCTCTAATTTTAAGTGTAAAAAATGTGGCTTAGCCACCCAGATTTTAAGCATATAGTGTCATCGCATTGGCACTCTAGTCCTTTGTATTTCCATTCACTCAAAAACTTTACTACTCAAATTAAAGAATAGAACCTCATTACTTTTGACAATATTTTCTACAAAAAGAAAATTCTCCTCTCCAGAATAGGAGGCATCCAACGAAGGAACCCAAGCAATAAAAATTCTTCCCACTACAATCTAGAAAATAGACTAATAACAGAATTAAATATAATCCTAAAGGCTGAGGAAGATTTTTGGAAACTAAAATCTAGAGTTCAATGGATAAATGAAGGTGACGCAAATACTAAATTTTTTCACCTTACAACTATTCATAGACGTAGATGCAACCGTATCCTTGGGCTACTTGATAGGGTAGGTAATTGGACATTTGATCCTAATATCATTCACAACACAATTATCGACCACTTTCAACTCTTATACACAACTCAATTCATCTCAACTCCAAAATCTTATACTAATTATTATTATAATGTACTATCAAATGACATACACCCAAAACTAACATAACCTCTAACCCCTAATGAAATCGACAAAGCAATCTCTTCATTCCAACCCTTCAAGGCACCTGGGCCAGATGGCCTACATCCTTTTTTCTTCCAAAAATTCTGGGAAGATACAAAAATAGCTGTAACTAATATTTGCACAGATACTTTCTCGTCAGCTACTATCCCAGATGACCTTAACAAAATATTTCTAACATTGATTCCTAAGGTTCATCGTCCTGAAACTATTGCTCAATATCTCCCCATAGGACTTTGTAATACAATTTACAAGACAATTACAAAAATTATTATTAACCGTATTAGACCATATCTATCTACTATTATTAGTCTTGCGCAGAGTAGTTTTGTACTAGGAAGACGTGTCATTGACAATGCTATCATAGTTCAGGAAGCAGTACACTCCTTTAAAAGACAAAAAGGTAAAANNGGGACGGGGGGGGTTAGGAATCCAAAACATCTCTCATTATTAATGGCCCTCCTTTGGCGTTACTACAATAATACTAACACTCCTTGGGCAACTACTCTACATTTCAAATACCAATCTTAGATCCATCAACCTCACCCTCAATTCCATCATCCAAAAATGAACTCTGCTTCCTACATTTGGAAAAGCATGGCAAAAGCTTACCCTCGTTTCAAACAAGGACTAGGTTGGAATATAGCACTGGCAATCAAATTCAACTTTGGTTTGATTATTGGCTACCTATGCACCAACATTTACGCCATCTAATTCATTGTCCACTTAATCACAATGAGAAAAATCTTCCACTAAGCTCAATAATCCAAAACGGCTCGTGGAATCTCCAATCAATTTTCTTTGACATACCCCAATCTCTATTCTCACTCATTCAACATATTTTATTGAGCCCAGCATTAAGAGATACCGACCAATTCTTTCGGCATCCCTCCTCAACCGGGGCTTTCTCCACCTCAACTGCTTATGCCTTACTAACATCTCCTCCACATAAGGAACAACATCATTCTCCACTAACTTGGATATGGAAGATACATACTATCAACAAAATTAAACATTTTATATGGCTCATGCTACAACACAAATTACCAACCCTTACATTTCTATCTAATCGAAATTTTGCTAATGATCCCACCTGTCCAATATGTCGTCAAGCATACGAAGATATTCTTCATATTTTTTTCCATTGCACCACTGTCTCCAACATATGGCATTATGTTAATATCCCTCTTCCCTCATAAATTATTCTAAATTGGATCAAACAACTCTGCCTCCCAAACACCTCCTCCCCTAATACAATTCCCTCCCATATCCTAGTTCTAATTACCTTCTGGCACATTTGGATCAATCATAATAATAATATCTTCAATCTCACACATGCAAACTTAATCCCCTTAATGTATACAACCAGGCACCCTAATATCATTACCTAGCTAACACGGTGACTCAAAAATCCACGCTAACTACTATAATTTCAATCAAATGGCAACCCCCACCCCAAGGTTTCTATAAGTTAAATATTGATGGGGTTTTTGACAAGCATAACCACATAGAAGGGGGGGGGGGGTGGGGCTGTTGGAGTTTTTCGTAATGCCTCTGGTGCTTGGGTGTATGGTTTTACCAAACCACTAAGACATGCCGATGTTCTCCAAGCTGAATTGCTAGCCTTATACCACGGGCTACAACTAGCAAATGCTCATAATTTCAAACCTTTACAAGTGGAAACGGACTCTCAGGTACTCCTACACTTCTTATCAAGTGCTCCACTAAAACACTCACATATCATTTTTGCATGCAGGTCGATGCTCCAGGTGACCCAGATCCAACACACATTTAGGGAAGGCAACGCTGTGGCATATGTATTAGCCAAACATGGGAAGACAATCAAGAATTTCCAACCTACTGATGTTATCCTTTTTGAAAATCCACCTTATTTTGCTTTACCGCTTTTAGCTACTCATGTAATCGGAATTGTAGCTTTTCGTTCAGTTCCAACCCCTGTAACACACTAGTTATGTTTTAATAAAAGCCTTCTTAGCAAAAAAAAAAAAAAAAAAAAAAAAAAAAAAAAAATTAAGGTAAGTGGGTCTATTTTTTCCATTATCAAACCGGCCAACTTCAAAACGAACCAAGATCTAAAAATTCTAAGGATTACGATAAGTGTTTAACTTAAGGGAACTTTACATAACTATACACTCAAAAATATCGTTAAGTCAAAAGGACAGTTTCATGAGTTCAGTTAGGAAAGGTCTCCAATACTATGAATGCTGTAGGTTTTGATCATTAGGGATAAATCCATGCCCATTAAGCTTTTCTCTTTTGCGTGATTTATGTTATGTTTGACGCTCTCTGTTCCCACTCACAGTATGTTGTATTACTTTCTTTCTTTCCGTAACCAACTAGTTTACGTACCCGCACGATGCGTAGATTGTTTCAAAGAAAAAAAATGATATATTAGAAACAAATCTATATTGCAGATTAAATTTAACGATCACATTGAAAAAAATTAAACCAAAAACCAAATATTTGAATTTCATCGCATCGTATCTATGCTAGGGACCGCCAATTTTATGCACTCACGCAAAGGTCAAAGATAAAACGTGTCTCAAATTCAAAGTAAAACCAACATAGATAATCAAGAAAAGAGCAGTCTCACATTTCCCTTTCGAGTGATTGAAGTTTTTTCCTTCACAAATTAAGGGCAGTAAAAGCTTTTGCGTCAACTTAATCAACACCCTTTTCATCGTCCGAAGCAAACTTATTTAACACCGCTTCCATCGTCCGAAGCATAATCAATCACCGCTTTTGCTCCTCCTGTTGGAAAGACCCAATAGTCTCATTGATTTTTGCATTAAATGGTGCGTCTTGCACAAGGTGTTATCCTATTCCATCTTTCCCTGTTTCCATCTTACGCTTTTCTAGTTTGCGTGATTTATGTATATGTTTGACGCTCTCTTTTCCCATTCACAGTATGGTGTCTCACTTTCTTTCTTTCTGTAACCAAAGACCTTCACAACGAAAATAAGAGCAAGTCCCGTTAGAATAGCATGGTCTAGTCAATTTTCGGACTGATCATTCAAAAATAGTCAGCGCTTACCAAGTCAATGAAAAACAGCCACTATTTTGCTGCAACAGAGACCGGTCCAGCATAATATACTGGAGTTCGGTGCACCTGTGTATGAACTTCCAGCATATTATGCTGGAACTCCAACACACGGAAAGTTCCAGCATAATATACTGGAGATTCGAGCACTTGTGTATGAACTTCCAGCATATTATACTGGACCGGTATACTTTGCTGGAACTCCAGCATATTATGCTGGAGTTTTAGTGTACTTATGCTGGAACTCCAGTATAATATGCTGGAGTTCCAACATACTTATGCTGGAACTCCAACATAATATACTGGCGTATTTTCCAGGTTTTGAACAGTATTTTCGCTTAGATTTATCTTTACATGAAAAGTGGCTAAATTTCGATTACTTTTAAAACTGGGCTATTTTTGAACGACCACTTATAAATTTGGCTATTTTTGAATTTCTCCCGCAAGTCCCTAAGACATAAGATTTCAAGTCATGTTTCATACTATCATTTATAAATGAGCAAGAGAGAATAAAAAGGGAAATTAGTCACTCTGTCCAACTTAAACTGAATCTAGATCTCTTGCAATCAAAATGTAACAAACTGCGGTCTTGTCATATCGCAGCTACAGCAAATCTTGGCTCAAGAAATAGTAGAAAAAAAGTTGCTTGTTTGTCTTTGTCACAATTCACAAACAACAAAAGACACCACCCAAAAAAAAAAAAAATTATAAAAGACACAAGCACACGCATTGAAATAGTAGAAAATTATTGAAGAACTTGTTTGAAGAATAGTTTAGGTGAAACAATAATTTCCAACCACAAATCATCAAACTGTCTTTTCGATAAAAATTTTACTCAAGCACAACTTCAACTTCCAAATATCACTCAACTTCCAAATATCACTTTTTGATTTAGAAACTTCAAAATACTATTTTTCACCCGAATTACATTGTCCAGACGCATACTCAAAGATACACTGAGATGCTGGATAATGTTCACAAAAGTAGAAATCTGAAAATAGTCTTTTCTGTAGAATTGAGCAATATAGCCTTACACCAGTAACACCATATGCACAAATCAGATTTTCAAGCAACAAGACAAAGGTTCACAACAACAATAAAAACATGGTGGATAATAAAACATACAACCATCCACAGTGTGAAGTTGGAACAAGTTACTTTGGTTATTACAAAAGACAATAGGAGTACTAAATACGCGATATCATCCCCTTGATAAAGAAGATTTTCATGCTGTCACAGTAGCAGGAGCAGCATGCTTCACTATGGTCTGCTGCAACTCCTCTTTCTTGGCACCAACAACCCTGTCCACTTCTTTTCCTTCTTTAATGAAGACAAAAGTTGGCATTGCCTCCACACCCCAATCCTCGGAAACAGACTACAAGAAAAGGTAGCAAGAATCACAATCCATCGCTAATTATACTACTCAAAGTACGATTGTTACAAAAGTACCTTCAGTTCATCAACATCAACCTTGAGAAATATAACATGGGGCATCTTCTTAGCAATGTCAGCAAGAACTGGGGCAATAAAGCGGCAAGGACCACACCAGGAAGCAGTAAAATCCACCACCACCTGAACCAAAGAGTTGTTTTCTTACATAAGTTAAAAGAAAAGATTTACCCCCAACAATGTCTAACAATCTGAGGCATATTTAAAAGGTACAATCATTCTGCACAAATTCTACTCGGTCTAACAGCTAGGTGTAGCTGATGTATAGTAACTTCAACTTCTGTTCATATAGCTAAAAAGTTTGTAAAAGTACATATGCTTATACTAAGTTTGAATCTAATGTCACAATGAAATTGTGATTTACAAGAAAGATTTACGCCCGACTTCTAGAAATCTGAAGCATACTTAAGTTTACCATCATATTCTATTTGGCCTTAGCAGCTACAGTCTGATGTATGGTGACAACTTATATTCCAGGATATGACACTTAGAATTTGAATAGAAAAGAATGGCTCTACAAATATCTTTTTTACTGATCTCATCTGAAAAATCACATAACTAAAGTAATATGCATAATGGACAACAAAACCAAATCTCCCCTTATAAACATATAGTTAAGTTTTAATCAAAAAATGCACATGTGATATATAATACTAGACTAGAGTCCTTAAGCAACTAAGTCGTTTGGTTGGAATATGATTTATACCGGTATAAGTTATGCCGGTATAAGTTACATTGGGATAAGTAATGCTGGGATTAGTTATGCTGGGATTGTTGTTCATTCATTGTTTGGTATGTAGTATTAAAAATGACAATTGCATAATTTTAACACCGGGATAACTCATACCTGGTTTGCTAACCAAACAGAGTATTAAGGTGGTATTAAATTTTTATACCACCCTTATACCTTCTTATACCTCATACTATACCTCATACCAAACGACCCCTAATAATCACAAAACAACAAGTTAAGCATCACATCAACTTTATAATTGGGTCATATCTTCAGAATAGATTCGATTATGGAATTCTTTTCATATAGCAACATATATTTGTCCACTAGGGGTCCACATAGCGATCCACCCAAATTTCTTATTCCAACCTAATCAGCATTGCAGCAACTTTAACTAGGAATTTGTTCCAAATTTTTGCAATTATGGGTGAGATGGGGATTGTATTAGCATGGAGATTCACTGATTCCTATAAATATCCACTAATATACACTACACAGCAGAAACAGTAAATCAAAAACAAAACATGTTACAATTAACTGAAAATCAAACTATGATTAGATAAAATAATAAATTTTAAGCAACTATAGAATCAGATCAGAAAAATGTAAGCAAACGGAAACCCAAACATACCCACAAACTAGCAGCAACTAAGTAAATCAACTAAGTCAGATACAATAAATCGCAAAAACAAGAACCCATTTTACAAATCAAATTTTGAGCAAAACCCAAATCGCAAAATAACAAATAGGTCAAAATTACAAAATAAAGCCAAAGTAATAGAACCATACCAGTTTCTTAGTCTCAACGCCCTTCTTGAAGTGCTCGTTCCATTCCTCAACCTTGTGGCAGCCGAACACTTGTCCCTCCTCAGATGAAGTAGCAGCCATTTCTCACAAATTTCTTAGAAGCAAAAAAACTCAAACAACCAAACAAGCCCTTAACTTTAGCTCCTCGTAAAACTAACGCTGAATGCCGATGTATTCCCAAGCAAAGACTTTATATAGGGACAGGGAGGTGCTAAATTACCAAAATGTAACGGATTTTAAGCTTTATTACGAATTAACCATACGCGTCACAGTATGAACACTTTACTCGGTCGGTCTAAATTTTTTGAAAAATATCACACTAAAGAATTGTGGTGAGATAGTTTAAAATATTCTATCATTAATTAGAGATTTCGATTTTTAACGCTAAAAATACAAATAAATTTCAAAAGAGAGTCTTGTTATTTTCAGATTTCAAGAATAAATTAATTATTTTTTTCCTATATTGCCGTTGGAGTAAATAATGTTGGAGTATGTATTAGGACTGTTTATGTGAAGAGATAGTAAAGGTTAATATGATCAATTTCATTGCTAATTAATGCTAAAAGATAAATTTTTTAATCTGTGTGAAAACAGTTAAAAAATCACTTATTTTGAACCGAAGGAAGTATCGAACACCGAATGAAAAATTAAAAAGAATAAACAAAAATAAAGGATATGCGAGGGAGGAAACACGTGGGCAATAAGAGAAAGTGACAGAGAAGATATTGGGCTGGGATTTATTTGAGTAGCGTCACCGATGAGGTTATGAGTTGTGACACAGAAAAATACCGGCGAATGTTAATTGTCTCGTACAATTACGACTTCGATGATCTCTAAGACCAAAATTATTAATTATATGTCGATTTAGTCTTTCATTAAAACTTTGCAAAGTTGTCATTTGTATGATGTATTTCTAGATTATTCATAATATATGGTTAGTTGAGTTCATGTTTTCATTATCTTATACTGGCCAAGCTCAAACCGACCATCTTAAGAATTTGACAGATTATAAGGACAAGTGTAAATGTTGGAGAAAAAAAAAAAGAAATTGCTATACTTAACGGCCACGCAATAGGCTGTGTAACCACGGCTTCCCTTTCTAATTTTGATGAACACTGATTCTTGTTCTTTTCTGGGCCCAAACACTAAGCAACATAAATTACCAAATTGCACGAGTCGTCCTATTTAGTCGCCCCCATTTAACTTATACCCATTTTTTATTAAAAGTTTGAACTTGTACCTACTTTTTAAACAACGTCAGCCCCATTTCTCCTCCTTTGTATTCTTCTTCTTCTTCTTCTTCTTCTTCTTTCTTCTGATGCTGTTGGCAAGGGCGGATTTAGGGGGCGGAAGGGGGTTCGCCTGAACCCCCTTCGCCAAAAAATTACACTTTATATATAAGGCAAAATCTGTTTTTTACCTCTATATATTAAGTTTTGAACCCCCTTAACACAATTCAAAAGTGTAGCTTAGTGGTCAAGGGGGTTCAAAACCTTTCTAAGGTTAAAGGTTAAATTCCCACGAGCTACAATTTTTTTTTTGAACCCCCTTCATGGAGATCCTGCCTCCGCCACTGGCTGTTGGTGCTGCTATGAAACTTCAGTTCATGGGATGATTGCCATAAGTATGTTTATCAGATTATTTAAAAATAAATTACAAATAATTACGTAAGTTAGTAGACAATAATTGTGAATATTTCCACGTACGAGGAGTTTAAGGTCACACTTAGTGATTCTTTTCATAATAATTCTGTTCTTTTCACGTTTATTGTTTCCAAAATTGATGATTTAGGTACTGTTGGCAATCTGATTATTTTTATAGTAGTAATACACTATGAAAGAATAAGATGATTATTTATCTAGTATGTTAGAAAGCTTTTTCAAAAACTTCAGCTTATATCGTGCTGAAGTTTTTACAAATGAACTAAATAACTTCAGCATCTTCTGCTGAAGTTTTGAAAAAGCTTTACGGCAAAACTAATGAATCCAGGACAAAAAACTTACAGTTATTAGTGAGTGAAGTTTTACAAATTGAAACTAATAACTTACAGTCNATGAACTAAATAACTTCAGCATCTTCTGCTGAAGTTTTTGAAAAAGCTTTATGACAAAACTAATGAATCCAGGACAAAAAAACTTCAGCTTATTTAGGGCTGATGTTTTTACAAATGAAATAAATAACTTCAGCTCTTCTGCTGAAGATTTTGAAAAAGCTTAATGACAAAACTAATGAATCCAGGACAAAAAAACTTCAGCTTATTTAGTGCTGAAGTTTTTACAAATGACTAAATAACTTCAGCATCTTCTGCTGAAGTTTTTGAAAAAGCTTAATGACAAAACTAATGAATCCAGGACAAAAAAATTTCAGCTTATTTAGTGCTGAAGTTTTTTATAAATGAACTAAATAACTTCAGCATCTTCAGCAATTACAAACAAAAACTTCAGCACACTTCAGGCCCGTCTACTAGAATGCTGAAATTTGTGTGATTGCCTTTTCTACTTCAGGCCCGTATGCTGAAGTTACGCGAAAAAGTGGGTACGCTTGCAATATTCTTTGCAAAGCGGGTACAAGTTAAAACGTGACCCAAAAAGCGGGTATAGATGTAAGTGCCCCAACATAAATGGACGTATAATTGGGCTAGTCTAGCCCATCAATTAACGGTCTGACATGGTCCATTGTAGCTAAGAGAACCCTTTAGATGGCAACTAACCCAAATAGCCGTTCACCTAATCTCTTAAACTAAAACTAGCCGCCGGATGTATAATACATGTATAGAAGTTTGTTATAGCCGCCCACCTATGTAAAATAGGGTGTGTTATAGAAGTTTGTATCAAATAGCCACTATTATCCTCAGCCCCACGGTGGGCGCCAACTGTTTACCCTCAAAATCGAATAACAATTAAAAATGTAAGTGGTTCTAAGAATACGCGGATTAATTTGATACAAAGCGGTAAATTGAGTTAGATTGAACAAACAAAGATGAAATGAATTCAAACCACACGAGGAGAATAATTCCAGCCTTAATGAAATATTCACCCTCGATCTGGACTTGCAATGGCCAGCAGTGATGAACAAGAAAAAGAGCTAATAACATAGAAAAATAATAATATATTGCCTTGGAATGCGTGTTACAAAATGTGTGTTATGAATTATCAGACCCCATTTATATAGTAGGGGAGTCCCACTCTAGGTACAACTCTGTAAAAAGGTAAAAAATCTTCTGATTAACTGATTGTCGGTTCCCCATCGATACGCGTCGAGATCTCCGCTGTGATATCCGGTAGGTCATGAATATCGCGACTTTCTGTTGGCCGCGCTTGATTGCCCGACAATATTCTTCAAAGTTGTTCAAGTCTAGGACCGATCCCGAACCATGACCCCAATATTCTCGAGGGTAGGCGTCATGCCCTTGGACTCCGACTCAATGAGACCTTTGCCTCGATTTCGGCCCCTTGTTATCATGTCTCGAGCTCGATTTATCATGTCAGGGATCGGGGTGTACCATGAGCCCGGTTTTACCTGTATACAGATAGTCCCCTCGTTTCTCGGAGAGTAAATGACGAGAAACGACATGAGCTCCCGATTCCTATTTCGATACGTCGTGACAGAAATGACAAAACATCGGAAACATCTCATCAGTCATGTCATAATGGCATTAAATGCATGTTAGTCGTTGGTCGGTTGTCCCTGGATGCGAAACGTCTCTGAACTCTTATAAATACCCCCTCCTTCATTCATTTTATACTTTACACCAAATCCTCTACCTTCATACCTCCAAGATTTGACTACTCTTCTAGTGTTTTTACCTCCGTTACTCAAGCTTTATCAGTACTCTGCAAAAAAATTTACTCATCTCCTACCCAAGCCAATAAGTCTGATCCTTCAAATCTTAATCTTTATCCCTCTTTCCCAAGCTTTTTCTTCATGACAATGGCAAAAACCTCCAAATCCGTTCCTCAAAAGGATGCTCCTTCTTCTTCGCGGCCAGCCACTGAGGTTGAGGAGGCCGGTCCGTGCGTGGCCGTTGATTGATAAATGATGAAACATATTTTTTAGTATATTTGCATATTAATTCTTGTGTGAGTCACGGGAGATTACATGGTTTTTTAAGTGAAATATACTCATTATGTGTTTCTTATTTGTAGGAATGAGCTTGAAAGATAATGGAGCAAAAGACATCAAATGCGATACAAAAAGAAGAAATTGAAGGATTGGCAGCTCGTCTATTCTCGTGCGTGGCACGAAGACGAACACGAAAAAAAGAAGTGAAGGCACAAAACAGCGAAGCGAAGCAAAGGCACGGATCGCTTCGCAAAATGGAAGAATTTCAAAAGCTGGATCCGCGTCAAAGTCCGCGTCTAGACGCGAAGGCAGACGCGAATCCGCGTCAAAGTCCGCATCTAGCGCGAAGGCAGACGCGAATTCCAGCTTTCCCTAGCCGAAGTGGGATTGGAGAATTTCGCCCTTTAGCAACCCTAAGTGATATAAATACATCAAAAAATGACTTTTGAGGGAGGAGACACTACTTTAGGGCTAGACAACACCCTTGGAGGCAAGAACACGCTAGGAGCAAGGAGGAAGATTCAACCACGAGTTTTTCCCTTTCATCTTCCTATTTTTCATTGTTGGTTATCACTTTCAGTATTGTAGTTTTACATACTATTATGAGTAACTAATTTATTATCTAGAGTTTTGATGGAACCTCTTGGATGATGAATTCTTGTTATGTTTTAATATAATTTTACCTTTGAATTTATCTATTTGTCCAACTACGTGTTTGTTGCTGTTCATTGAATGACCATCAATTGACTGTGCCTGTTTAGTGTGTACTGCTTGAGAGAGAATACATATTTAGGTAGTTGTTGAACAACATCACTCCTAACGTATGTGAGAGATCAATACGGAGATTTTACAGGCGAAATTAGAGATAACGAACCCTTGGTGCGATTGTAGTGAGAGGTGAATTAGTGTTAGCTAGTGTAGTTCGAGAGAATACATCTAGTAAATTGTGGTAGTTTCTCGAGAGAGAATTACGATAACCAAAATACTCACAATCGATAGAGAATACTTAGGCGAAAGTATAGAAGACAAGCGAGAAAGATTCCAACAATTGGGGAAATCATAACTCTAGACTTCCTAAATTTAGTCTCCAACCCTTAGTATCTTTAGTTGTTAATTTACTGCTTTATTTTCTTTGTTAATTAGTTAGATAT